TGCACACATCTATCGATCTTTTTCTCTAGACAGTTAGATAGATCATTGTTCTCGTTAAAGATACAGTTTCGTATACAAAAAAATTAAAAAACAGGGACTGAAGTTGAAAGTAATGACATGCTGTCATCAGTCATCAGAGCCGCATGGGAAGCATCCTTTGTGGAACTTCATCAATAACCTTTCTACGTACAGATGTACACTAAAGGTGAACGAGCCGGGCAGGTGAGTTTCCTGTTTGAACTTTCAGTACCTGTCAAGCTGCTGGGATTAAGATGGCTCTGCCTTCACGCTCACAATAAACACAGTAATCACGGCAGACATTTCACCAGCACTAAATACCTAATACACAACGCAGGTCTTAAAATAACAATTAGCGTGGAAATGGAAGAGGGGTGATTATAAATTCCATTCAGGAAAGGGTCTTGGCTGTAAGCTGGGAGGTGGCAGGGAGATCTCGGGGAGTCATGCGGTTCAGAAATGGGGGGGGGGGGAGCAGTTTTTGCAATCAGCATTAAATAGAACAGTTTTGTGCCTGTGTGATTGTGAAGTGGGCCATTACTCGTTGATAAGAGCACTTTTTCCTTGTGTCGCTCTGATTGGGCTGAGCATGCTGCTCCCTCGCACATGCTGTCCCAATGCAATCAGGCCCCTCTTTCACTGCACTGCCATTTTCACCGCTGTGATTTCCACCCAATCCCTCCTTCGCCTCCCCCCCACCCCCCCCAAGCCACCTCCCACCCTCCAGCACCACATCTCCCCCTTCAGATTCAATGAGTACCCATTTACAGCAAGGAGAAAAGGTCATGCCAAACTCGTTGTGTCAATTGTAAACCACCCCAATTTGGACTGATTTCAATGAAATAAACGAGTAGTTGCAGCTCTAAAGAAAGCAAAGGTCCATGTGGAAGTAGCCAATTAGGAGAGTTTCTTAGAGAGACTGGTCAGGGTCAAACGCTCAGTGCTTCACTGGTTGAGACTCGTCCACATTCCTTGTTCTTACTATATTAGGGGATGTTGTGTGTCCTCGGAAATTAATCTTTCAAGAAATAATAAAATATAATTTGTATGTAGAGAAATTTTTGCATAAAAAAACAAAACAATTACGCGCAGGGCTGGGATTTTCACAGCAGACGTTTCCTATTTTCATACTTCATATAAGTGAGGATGGACGTTTTACCCCGTCACATTTCTTATTACTACTTATGTTATCTTATTTTACTTATTGCACTGTATGTTGCACTGAGTGGTCTTTATTTCCTGGGCTGTGACAAATTATTTCTTTTATTTTTCAGGTTGTGCATAAAATAAAAAGTGCATGAAATGAAAGAAATACCAATCAGTCTAATTTATCTGTTCAGAACTATATTAAACACATTTTGATGTCTTTTACTTTGAAAGGCTTCTGTGCTTTGTATGTTTTTTTGAATGGTCCGATCTGGCCACCTGGAAGGTTTTTGCAGAATAGAAACACTGCATAGAACAACCTTTCACTTTGTTTTGTAACTTGTGTTACAAGTCCTATAGAAAGTGATCACATTCTCCGTGTGGTTGTCTGAATTGTTCATTTTATCCTGAATCATCATCATCTTCACTGGTTATACTGTTTTTGAACAGACAAAGCTGCCGTAGCCCAAAAGTAAGGTGATTCAGCCAGGGAGACGTGTTCTTTGATTTGATGACAGCAGACCGACTGATTGTGGAGAAACTTGGGTGTTGAACCTGCACTTAAAAAAAAAAAGAAAAATCTTTGCCTGTTCATCATCTGTTTTACTGAATTTGAAATGCATACAAACTTATTTTCACTAAAAGAAAGAGGAATTATACACTATAATCTTACATGTGTTCGGTTTTACAGGGTTGGCCCACGACAGATCAAACTGGGCTGTATGTGGCCACTGAGCTAAAGTGAGTTTTAACCTTTAACTTTGCCCGGCGACAAAGTGCTAAAACGAGTTTAAACACTGTTGTTATGGTGGAAACTACTTTTATATGTAATATGAGTTATACATGAATCCATTAATAGCCCCAATTTTGTCAGACAAAAGCACAAAAACCAACTTACTTTTGATCTTTGGTTCCACAATGATCCAAAAGTGTGAACCCAACTTCTAACCTAAACCCTTTTGTGCATCACCTCAGATGCCACTATTGTTGACCTACTTTAAACCTCTCATACAATATGCTTGAGTACCTATACACAGACTGTATATACCCAAACTGCCACCCACAGTCAGATGTAAAGCAGTGCAGCAGCAGAACGAGTTTGTAAGTATGTTGACAGATGAGAAATTGTTTTTGTCTGGTCCATATCACGCAAAACATTTTCGAAGTCAGCCGTGCAATGCTGAAAATGAAAACACGCAACTGTTACACACTCAGATCTCCATCTTTCCCAACATCTGCTCATATCAGGTTTTCCACAGACGGTCAATTGAAGTGAGATGTGATTGTCTTTCATGTTAAAATGCTCATGTCTTTTTTCTCACCTTTGGCGTCTCCCAGTGAACTCGAGACAAGAACATAAATCAGTTTTTCGACTTTTTCCTACTGTGTTCAAAGCCCTTTCTGCTACGAAGGATTCTGTGTCTGTTTTAGTTGAAATGTCTGATCCGCAGAATGCAATGTTTGAGCTGCGTGATCTGATAAGGAGCATTCAAGTCCACCAGGTGGAACAGGACACATCTCGTTGAAGGCACGCTAACTCCTTTATGCCTCTGCGATGGTGCGATACAGATGCAGGCTCATGCTGGTGCAGGTCAGACAGAGCTCCCACCAAAACAGCTGTGGGCAGAAAATATCCGTGTGTGTGTGTGTGTGTGTGTGTGTGTGTGTGTGCGTGTGTGTGTGTGTGTGTGTGTGTGTGTGTGTGGTGGCTGGAGTGAAAGGATTTGTCGAGTGTTGGATTGCGTGAGTGACAGGTTTGAGTTGGTGAATGAGTGAGAGTAAGAAAAAAAAACAAAAATAAAAAACAATCCACAAAAAAAAAAAAGCAACAAACTGTGTTTTCTCTAAAGTAGCTCAAGCTGTTTGTTGATGAGATTCCAGCCCTTCTGATCCTTGTGGGATTTCTACATTTCCACCTAAAGAGAACATATAATGTCCTCGTGTCACTGATTTACATACCAACTTAGAGCAGCTGGGTCTTTCTGTTGCAGTATGTGCAAAAAAACCCAACACTCATTGAGCCACTTATATAATAATAATGAATTTAGAACTGAACTAACGTAGAACTTATAAAATAAACAAACAAACCAAAAAAATCCGTTCTTGATGCTTCCCAAGTTTCAAAAATTAACAATTTGCATTTTCCTCTTTGTTTTTTTTGGCAGACAACCAGTCATCTCATGAATCATCCAACTGTTACAGAGCAGTCTGCTGATTATTATTCTTTCCCCATATTGTACTCATGCGGTTGATGGCTGGATAGGGTGATAATAACTGGATATAGTTTGTTTTATATTATAGGCTGTTTTTACGGTCATACAATGGTAGTAATAAAATTATTTAATCAGTTTATTTCTCCTAAGGACGAGCGGTGAAAGTTGATTCTCATATTTCCACCCAGAGAAAAAATCAAACACACAACAAAAAGGATATTAAAACCATTACAGACGTTGGATTTCTTACAGACTGAATCGCTTTTATTTAAGCAAACGTGACAGAAAAAGGATTCCTAATAATTCAAATGGAAGCACAAAACTGAATAACTGAGGCTGCAGAACAAGAGAGACTCTGGATGTCTGTGGTGCTGCATATCAACTGGTTTTAGCTGTTTGCTCTGCTGTAAACTGGTTACCAACAAAATCATCCAATGTGGGTCCAGCGGTTTGGAGAGACTGTGGTGCACGTTCTTTAGTTCTGTTCTGCATGAAAATAAGAAGAGAAGATGATGCATTAAAAAAAAGAAAAAGGAAAATAATACAGAGTTTCAAGACCTCCATACAGGGTGAGATACTTAACAGTGCAGTAACAATGATTTTAAAAAATCCTCTAAAAAGAATGATTTTATTTCTTATGATCTCTAATTAATAATAATAAAATAAACGACCACATTTAAAGGTTCTCAAACTGTAAACTAACAGGAACTTTCACTGAGCACAAACTATGAGATTGAAGTGTTTTTGGCCTTCTGCTCAGATGGCACAAAGCTCAAGAAGTAATTACTTGTGGCAGAATAAATATTCACACAGGATAATATAATATAATAATATTGTAAAAATTAGAAAATAAAGAGATTGATTGAGTCTTAATAGCAGTAAAATTCACCCACTTGCACCTTTTATGTAGGGATTACATCTTTCCCATCTTTCTTTCTAAGAACATTAGTAAATAGTATATAGTTTATATTACTGGATCTCCATTTAGTTTATTATTATTGCTACTGCACCTCAGTGTTGCATGTTGCACCTTGCTGATTTGAAGGTCTTTATATTCACGGCTACATCCACCCTGGAGGAGATCAGATTACTTTTCTTAAATCCACTGTAAACATGTTTGTAAAGCCTGCAGCCACAGGATCTGTGGTCTGAATTTACCTTTAAGTTCTTCCTTAAGGCCTTAAAAAATATTAAACAATTAATTTTTTTAATAGAGCATCTTTCCATCCACTTGCTTTTCACTTTCTTGTAGCTTGTGTAAATTCTACCATGCTATTATAATTTGCCTCGTAATTACACCTGTTTTATTTTTAGGAGCAAGAGGAGCTTCAGCAGGCCTTTCTGAAGGAGCAGAAATACAACCTGCTGTCAAACAAGTTGTGAACTACATGCAATATTTAAACACTTTGAAATATTTTTGAACCACTTGCATATCATTCAAAGAAATCATGAAGTAAAACTTAAACATGCGGATTTTTTCAATCAAGCGCTCATTTGAAAATATCTATAACAATCTCACTGCGCCAGACTTTTGCTCCTCTCAAAAGTTGCATTCAAACCGCAAAAGCTTATTTCCAAAGGGGAGGCGCGACCAACACCGAGGAGAAAGTAGGAGTTATGAAACGCCCTCTGGAAACAGCTCGGGGCAGACTGACTGACACAAGCACAGGAACCCTGGAGGAGAAGGAAAGGATAGCGGTTAGATTTTTTTATTTTTTATTTCCTTCGCTTTGAAAGTGGGACGACTTTTCCAGGCTGGACGCAGACATGCGCTGGAAAAGTGAGGTAAAAGTAGAGTGTCGCATCGCTAAGGAGAAGGAAAACGGATCTCTGGTGTCCAACGACGAGGTGAGTGAAGGGCGGGCGTGTAGCTTGTACACTCGCGATCAGCAGGTTGAGCCGTGAGTCAGTATCAGAGATTAAATATTAGTCGAAATTGCTTTGCCAATTAAATGAGAGTGGGCTTCGGTCTGTCATTAAAGCCGGCCTTCACACGCTGCGGCTCAGTATTTTTACAATTTGAAGAAATGTCAAAGAAAATGAGCCCTCCCTGAATTCTGCAATTAAAACTCAAGTAGTTAATGAGACCTCTTCACCTTTTGGTTGCCCGGGGTAGACGTTTGTGGCGAACTTAGCCTTTTTAATTGCTGTTATTAAATAAATCAATCCCCTTTTCCTTCAGACCTCGCGCTGCTTTTCTGATTGACGCGTGAAATTGGCGTGTTGGTTGGTTTAACCGCAGCTCGCGCACGCGCGCGCCCGCGAGCAGCGGCTGAATCACAAATTCAGAGCTCAAGAACATAATGGACACGGGATGAGTATTAGTTCAAGTGTTGTCTGTTTTTGTAAGTAATGACTATCCTTCTCTTCTTTAAATGTCATTTTGGTTTAATCGCCGGCGTTGTCATGGTGAAAAGTGAAAGGCATGATATTTATGGGAAGGAGCAGGGGGCATTTAAGGCAGCTGCGACAGTCTGACAAACCAGCATCCTCTTCTCGCCGTAGCTTCTCGTCATGTGTGAAGATTGCAAAGGAGACGAAGAGCTGCTGGGCAAATGCACTGAAGACAGGAGAGACATAATGGTAGGCGGGAAGGAAACGGTGCAGCCACAATTTGGTTTATTCTCAAAAACGAGCACGTTGTTTTTAATTTTTAAAGTTGTTTTATTTATTATATTTTGGTTTTTTGTGTCTGTGGACAGACAAAATGACAACTTTTAGTGAAAGATGACATGTATTTCTCATGGATTTGTCACTAATTGGCATCTAAAAGGAATAAAAACGCAAGACACTTTATTCTTTATTCAGACTTTTCTATCTTTTTGACTTTTTCTTTTTGGATTTGGACTTTAAAGCTTTTTGTTCTCGCGTTGGTCAAACTGTGACCCTTATGGCTTTACCTATTTTATTCTGTCGTGTGATTTCGCTATTTTGAGATTCTTAACTTTGCTTTCAGTGTTTTTTTTTTAATGTTTTTTCCTTTTACTTTAATTACTAACTCAGCAGGTGGCCAGGAGACAAGGATAGGCGTGACTGGACCGAGATTTAACAGTTAAAACAAATAAATACAGAAATTCGGGAAAAATGGTAAATTTTTAAGAGACAGTTTCTTGTGGGGTTTTTTCAGACTATCAATCACGTTGTTTATTGGTGGTGACAGTGCGTACCAGCTCATGCTGTACTGCAGGTTAGGAGTGGATGCGTTCCTGTGCGTAATTTTCTAACCGCAGGTCTGATCTCCTCAGGGCGCACCGGTGGAAGTTTTGGATGAAGAAGCGTCGTCCCTGCAGGCGATGTCCTCTGCGCCTCTGTTGGGCAGAACTGTGTGTGCGAGCTGCAACGAGGAAATAGTTGATAAATATTTATTAAAGGTAAATCCTGTCATTTTGTATTTTTATTTTATTTATTTATTTTGCATGCATTGTTTTTCCTGCCTATTTAACACTAGAATACGTTTTTTCTCCCCTCTGCTGTTTGGCTCTAAACTGCTTTTCTTTCCCCTCCCCTTTCTTCTTTTATTCACCGAGTGACTTTTGCCAAATCATCATATTTTTGCTTTAGGTTAACGACTTGTGCTGGCATGTGCGCTGTCTCTCCTGCAGCGTGTGCCAGACTTCACTTGGCAGCCACACAAGTTGCTACATCAAAGAAAAAGAGGTTTTCTGCAAACTGGATTACTTTCGGTGAGTATATCGCCCTGCTAAAGATGCTTATCAGCGCAGATTCAACGATAACATAAGTTTGGGTCTGTTTTCGTTAAAGGAAATACCCATGAAATCCGATCTGTTAAAAAAAAATACTACAAGTAATGCATTTGAGAAATTAGATATATCGAACACTGAGTCCTGTTTCATTAAGCTTTTATTACTGTGCTTTCATTGTAACAATAATAATAATATACACTGTAGTCGGACCTGAGATTTGTTTCCGATTTTATTCAAATATCATGTATATAAAATTAATAAATGACCATTAAATGCATTATTATTTCTTACATTAATTTCTGTGAGTCGACGAACTTCATAGTGACATAAATAAAAATTAATAAAACGACTTAGAGGATTTTTTTCCCGTATGTTTGGATAATTGGAACAAATTGTGTGCCAGGTCCAGGGCAAAGGTCCATCTTATATTTCATGTACCGGGGCCTAAATCGACGTCAGGTGGGTTTTTTCACCGTTCCTGTTGTTGTTTAGACTGTGAGATCATTATTTTGTGCAACTACACGCATAAATAGCAGGAATCATTATAGGAATTTAAACTGTTATTATCCTTTAAATACCATCAGGCTGTCTCCTTTGACCTTCACCTGCAGGAGATACGGCACTTGGTGCGCGTGCTGCGGGCGGAACATCCACTCCACAGACTGGGTCCGCCGGGCGAAGGGCAACGTCTATCATCTGGCCTGCTTCGCCTGTTTCTCCTGCAAGAGGCAGCTGTCCACCGGGGAGGAGTTCGCCCTGGTGGAGGGAAAAGTGCTTTGCAGGGTTCACTACGACTGCATGTTGGACAACCTCAAGCGGGCGGTGGAAAAGGGTGAGGCCGAAGTCTCACCCCACCAAAATGACCGCGAATAATTTGCTCTCTCTGTTTTTGAAATATCGGTTTGAAATTTATGAATCATCAATGAAGCCACCGGAAACGGCATCATGTCTCATTTTAACATATTAATATATTTCGCTGCAGGAAACAGCGTTAACATGGAAGGAGCTGTGCCCACCGAACAGGAGATCAACCAGCCCAAACCCTCCAAGAGAGCTCGGACCAGCTTCACTGCTGACCAGCTGCAGGTTCAACTCCTCCTCTTCTTCATTCATCACATAAGAAAAAACAAAGACAAAATAAGTAGATTGTGTTTAGGTAAAAAAATGAATTAATGTATAAAAAAGAAAACAAACAAACGCTGAATTTCTGGCCCTTAAATGATTTTTTTGGAATTCTTTCAAAAATTCTTTTTCCTTTTTTTTTTTTTTTTTACATAGTATACATATACTTTTTAAATTGTGGAAATTCACTTCTATGTGTCAAAAAATAAAAATATCAAAGGATTCAAGAGGAAAAAATGTCCTGATATTATTTTCACAGGTGGATAAGATGCGTCATTGTGTCTGACCGTCAGAGATGACATGATACAAGATATTTAATACATTTAGTCTGAATGACACAGAGGACAGAATTACTAGAGAAGAAAAAAAAAATAAGAAATCTGTTTTTTAAATTGGACCGTGTGCAGTTTGTCTTCTCTTCGCAATAATATTTATAATGCACATTATTTCAGCAATTCCCATTCTAGTTTTGTTATTGAATTAAAATGTAATAAATGGTTTAGATTTATGCAGAATATCCCAAAATGCTTATACGTTCCATGATTTTATTAGAATTATCTGTCTGTGTGAATTAAACCCTCTCTGGCAGACTTTAAAAGGCAGCTCTCAGATCTCCTCACAGTTACTCGTGTTCAGATGAATCATGGATTTCCCTCCCACGGGACCACATAGTAAACCTTTGTGTTATTTTGTGCACATGCAGGTGATGCAGGCTCAGTTTGCTCAGGACAACAACCCAGACGCCCAAACACTGCAGAAACTAGCAGAGCAGACAGGCCTCAGTCGAAGAGTCATTCAGGTCAGTAAAGATCGGTGCATGAAGACAAAACGGATGATGGATATATCATCTGTTATGACATTTGTTCTTATTGGATTTCAATATATATCATGTGGTGTATATAATGTATATTGTGTGTAATTACTGCACTATCCGGACGACGTATGTTCCCAAACAAACTCCTAAATAACCAAACAGTTCAACCTGTAAAGACAAAAATGCTTTCTGAAGCTTTAACTGAAGCCTGAGATACTTTAAGCAGATTTGTAATGCAGCTTCTAGAGTTTAACCCTTTTAGATAAGACACCTTTATCTGTTCTGACTGTTGCTGACTGTCCAAAAACTACAAGACAGTGACAGCGGCTTTACTCACAGGACAAAAGATGACTCCTTGACTGTAACTCTGTAAAAAATCATATCTGTTTTGGCTGATGAAACATGAGCTAAAACAGTGACGCGCTTCTATCTTGGACTTTCAAATGCAGTCCTGCTAAAGGCGCTTGTCCCGTTAACTCAGGTCTGGTTCCAGAACTGTCGAGCACGCCACAAGAAGCACGTGAGCCCCAACCACACCTCCAGCACCCCCATGACCTCACTGCAGCCCAGCCACCTGTCCCAGCCCACCCCGACCCCCGAGGAGCTGCAGTACACCGCCTACGGAGGTCCAGAGGGGTCGATGCTCTCAGCACTCCACTCCTTCATAGACAGTGAGCACGAGACTTTTCATACATTTCCATGACTGTAATTAAATTAAATAGAATTTTTCATTCTCTTATTTCTAAACGATATATATTTATTTTATTTTAATTGCCCCCATTGAACATTTGCATTTAGGATAAATGGACAAATATCTTAAATTCCAAACACAATTATTCTGAAATAAAGATGATTTTAAATCCAGGAACTTTAAATATTACAACCAGCATTTTATTCCATCTCCTGCTTTACTTTGACCCAGAAAACTAGACAATCAGTAGAAACGACTAGAATAAATCCAGACGAAGAAAGAAAAACGTTATCCTGCTTAAGATTTTGTCTCAGTAAAATAACATCAAAGTTAGAGGAGTGGTAGATGACGTCACTAGACTATAGGATGACAAATGAAATGACGCAGGTAATAAAAAATGATCTGGCAGCCACGCCGCACACGATGAGATTGGGAAGTTTTGTCGTCAGATAGCAGATAATCAACCTTATGTTTTTTGTTGTTGTTGCCTTTGGTGTAGCATTTCACCCTCCCTGTTTGATAGTAGGAGGAGACACAAACCCAGCCAGGGAGGGAGGGGTGTGTGTGTAGGAGGGGGGGTTAGGGTCCCAGATCTGGATAAGTGGGAGCGTTGCATCCAGAAGGGCATTTGGCATAAAATCTGTGACAAAGCAAACGTGCGGCTCCGTCCGCTGTGATGAGAAAATCAGGGAGCAGCTGTTCGAAACCTTGTGGAGATGTAATATTTGACCCTGTCAGGAGCGCAACGAGGAAACATCCAATCAAATCACAATGCAAATACATAACTGTGCTGTCGTCTGTTACATATTTGAATACAATTTGTGGAAAACTGACCTGGATCAATATTCTCACTCTGCTCTGTGTCTGCAGTACACTCGCCTCCATCCTTGTTTCAACCGCTGCTGCCAGCCCACGCCATGACCTCGCTGCCTGTGTCTAACGCCTGAGCTGCCCTCTCTCCCTTACACTCACACACAGCTGACCAATGTTTTTCCATTATTAGCAGCAGTATCTGATACGTGTGGTAAATATAATTTAAAGTTTTTGTGAACCATAAAATCTGCTGTAATATTGTTTGTTAAGCAAATTCTGGATCATTATAATTTACAGCCCTAAATGTACTGATGTATCATGGCAACGCTTCGGTGCACGTCACACACGACGTCATATATTTATATTTGTTTGTTGTCTGTTTGTTGGTGACAAAGTCTGATTGTGCTACTCTTAGTGAAAGCCACCAGCCCCACAAAAGTCGACTCCACATGAAGATGAACTGAATAGCAGTGTTGCAATTTAATTTATTGTATGTGTCGTCTCTTTTGAGAATAAATGTCTAATTTCACAAACCCGGGAGGAGTCATTGAAAAGCTTTGACACACGAGAGCTGAGGCCGTGCTGCGTTCACGGCTCGGCATGTTTACAAATTAGGAAATAGAAAAAACGATTCATTGATGAAAGCAAACATTATTAAAACACAACAATATCAAACTTACACACAGGCAACATATGTGTTGATTAGACACAAACACCTGAAACTTTTAATTGCAGACATACAGATAAAACTGAAGTGTTTCTGTTTACGACAGGTTCGAGCATCTTCAGAGTGACTTTTAAGAGCTTGTGGTTAGAAAACTGTCTCGCGTTATACCGAGAGCGACGTTTAACTTGTGTCTACTTGCTGACTGTGGTTGACCAAAAGAATCCAATTTCCAGACACAGGAGGGAGGAGAAGGCATATAAAAACACTTTTACTTCACTTATCAGATCTTACGAAGTCACACTACCTGGAGTGAAACTGAACCTGAGTTACATACACAAAAAGATATCGAACTCCGATGGGAGTATGGTAGTTATTTTGTGTGGAGAAAAGAAAGAAGAAGAAAAAGACCAAAGAAAACAACCTGCTGCATGCGTAATACGCCCCACTGTGCTCTACATGCATCATTTCTCTTCTTTCTTTCAGATACACAAGGAGTTGTTTTTCTTTTTTCCTTTTTTTTTTTAATGTTACATGTCCCAGCGTGCTCAGCTCAAACAGGGGCGGGAGGTGTGTGAGGCAGCCTGGCAGTGTTGTCACTCAGAGGCACCATGAGGGCAGGTTCTCAGCTTTGACAAGCACGCCGCAGAGACACAAACATGAGTCACGTCTGAAAGATCTAAAGAACATCTTTTTAAGCGGTGCGTGAATCTACTCTGAAAAAAGCACAACCTAGTAAAAGGTTGATGGCAGTAAAACACAAGTGTGAGGGAGGTGGTGCACACCCTGGGCAGGTTGCCAGTCCATCACAGGGCTGACACACAGAGCCGCTCTCGCCAACGTCGATGCCTGAGGGAAATTTGAAACCACAAACTGATCTCCCAAAATCCTCTAAATCTTTTTCTTCCCAGACAGGAATCGGCTTCATCTGTGGCTCACCAACCTAATAAATCCATCCAACGGCAGCTTTGACACGAGCGACTCACTAGTGTTACAAACAACCATGCAAGAACAGGACACATAGTAGCAAAAACACTTAACACTGTTACTCCAATAACAAACTTTGTTATTGTTTAAGGTTATTAACACAAGACTCAAATATTCTTAGTGTGAACTTAAAAGACTTATTAAAACCAATCCAGCATCTTTAAAGCAGCTCCTCTACTGTTGGTTTGGTTCTGCCCCACAGACGTGTTACATGCACACGTTTGCCACATAATGGGACCTAATTATGTTTCTTAAACTTATCAAAGATAAAAATGGTCAGTAGAGAAGCAGGGGTTGTGTGAGGCATCATTACCGACAACAGCCATCATATATTAAAAAATACATATCGATACTGTTTCAATAATACACATATGATTATGTCACAAATAATCCAGCAATGAGTTAAAACTCGGACATTAAGCCTTGTGGATTTGCTGTTCATCAGGTCACATGGTTGTATTTTCACTATCAATTAATTTATATTTCCATTTGCACAGTTGTGGGTACAGGCTCTCTTTCCACCTCCTGGACTGGTGGTTAGTGTCATAAAAATAGGAACAAAACACACAAAAACAACAATATTAAAGACGACTTAAACTGACAGCATTATTTGCTTTTCAATGGTCTGTACAGAGATGATGATTTTTATCTTTATTTGGATTAGTCTGACCACCATAACCATGCAGTGAAAACACGATACCATGACAGCCCTAACTGTAGGCGTGGTTACAGGAAGCGTCCAAGGGCACTCGGATTATTTTGGAAATCCACAATCACTTAAGGCCGTCGGTGACGTCTATTCAAAGTGACCGCCGTCATCGTCCTGTGATGGAAGCCTTTAAATCCAGTAAGAATGGACTCTAACATTAATGAGGTAACTTTCAAAGATGATCACTTTAACACTTTTATACCTGTCACTGGTTTCAGTGCATTGTCACTGATACACAAGCCCTCATCAAAACACATGCACAATCCGGAGGTTCTGCATTTTCTGCTGCACACAAACACATAATGTCATTCTGCTTCCCCCACAGCTAATAAACCAGACCTGTTAGACATCTCTTGCTGTTAAATATCCCTTTAAGAATGTTGATAAAGATGTCCAAAGCACGTATACTTCAATATTCAGAAACTCAAAGCAAAACACACTTGAGACTGAAGTAATCTGAACTGCTGTGCCATCATGTACTTGGCAATTAAACATAAAAACAGTGAGCAATGAGTGGTGAATATTTTTCTCAATGTGAGCAACTCAGGTACAGTGTACAGGTCATCTGGTAACGACTGGCACCACCAAGTGGTGAAAATTGGCAACTACATGAACCCAAAGCTGAGACGCACTCAAAACAAATCTGTTGCATTGTTGTGTATGTGGCAGTAAAATGTACACAAATACACACATTTCCTTTACATAGACACATATAAAAATATTCATAGCTATCACTGAGTCCATAAATTACTATGTGTGGGTGAATCTAATTATTCATGTTGCTTAGCTACAAGTTGTCTCTTATAGTGTACAGCTTCAACTTGTGTACACTTCCATTAAATATGGCAAAGTGTTTATTCCCATATGCCACGTGGGCTTGTACCATGCTTTGGTGTTAACCTTTATTCTTTCTCCTTCCTGCTACTTCCTTCTGTTCTTCTTGTGGAGGATCTTCCTCAGTGTTTTGCTCATGCGGTAGGGCCGGGCTGGAGCGCCGTCGTTCACCTCCAGGTCCCACACTACGAGGCAGCAGCAGCATGTTAAAAACCAATGGCGAGAGAATCATGCAGCACATCAAAATTTAACCTGTGATCACCTCGATTGTAAAAAATGAACGCCTCTGGAAATGCACGGGTCAGTAGTTCAACCATTTATGTTTATTCGAAAACAAAGATTCACATTTTCATTGGATTCATTGATAAAAAAATTCTCCTATACAAAAAGAACACTGAATAACCTCCAGACAGATGTGTGTATTATACTTAGTATTAAAACAGCACAACATCTGAACCATCCAATAAAAAAATTTACCAAAAATGGCTTTGACATCCTTTTATAAACTGTATCGCAAAGGTTCCTGGTGTTAGGTCTAAAACAGAATAAGAGGAACATTTTTTTATTTTTGTTTTTTCACATCTAGGCACATAAACTAGTGGCTGCATTCAAAAGTTTCCTGAAAACGCTCAGGCTCGGTTCACATCTTTTTTTCTTTAAGCATAAACCATTAAATGTCTTTTGAAGTCTTGACCTCCAACAAAGCCTCTGTCTGGTTTACAGTACATCTATGAGCATAATGAAAACTTTAATGTGACGCTGATTTAACATGAGAGAAACCTGTTTTGCTAAGTGCAGAGTTCACACCATTTTTGGATCTGTGTGCTTGTGTTAGTATAAATATAGTGATTATAAAACCAATGGTAAACACCAACAGCCAGCAAAGTAATCATGCTACACAGAAGAAAGAAATCACATGGTTCGTTTCCTGTATGTGAAAGTGCATACAAAACATGATTTTACATTAGAAGACCAAAGTGCGACAAGAGGGTGCCCCATAAGTCCACCACTTTTTCCGTGGTGATGCCTTATGTCAAAGTGGCATCTGTACATTGTTTACGGTCCTCGTGTTTGTTTGGGTTAAAAAAAAAGAAAGAAAAGCTTGTCTCGTTTTTAGTTTTCAGCCTGTGCATCCATCCTGCGAGTTGACGTGTACCCTCTCGGTAAGGCAGAGGTCAGCAGAGAATACAGACGAGAAAATGACAAAGAAACACAAAAGTGTAGCAGAAAAAAGGCAAGTATCTGAGTTGGCTCGAGAGAGGAAGTGAACAGTTATCTTAGTCCCCTATGCCTTTTCTGCGAGGACCCGAAGTAACAGCATGTCCTTTCATGCACAGGTCATCCCTGACAGGCTGGGCGGGGTGCATCCAGTTTCAATGTTTAGCCCTACAGTACTTGCTCTCGAGCGTCCAGACCCCCACGCACACGGCAGATATGGAGAAGCGAGTCAGAGAGCCAAGAGTTTAGTAAAATGCATCACTCAGGAAGCAGCGCAAGTTTTGGCACCCTCCTCTCCTTTGCGCAGGATCTTGTGCAGGCCAGGAGACATGTAGTAGGGCCTGGAGGAAGAACCGTCATTCCTCTCCAGGTCTTCACCTGAGGCCAGGTCCCCGCAAAGGAACAGGAGGAGCAGGACGAGCAAACAGCACACAGAGCGGCAGCCACAAAGAGAAAGGAAAGCAGAGACTCAGCAGAGATGATAAACAAGAAGATATGCAAGACAGCGATTATTTCAAGTTATTAAAAGGAAGAAAGAGTTACACAAAGCTGCTGACATTCGATTTTTAACCACAGCAGAAGTGCTTCTGCACCGTAACTAAACATGAAACAGCATACTCACAAAAGCACAGGAACAATGTGTCCACACACATAGCATAGACGTTAAAAAAGCCATGTGCGATCATGTAGGATCCAAATATCACCGTCTGAAAGAGTTAACAGGTGAAAGTCTTACACTTTTAACTGTAGTCTTGTGTTCCAGCTTTATTGTGCACACTGCATTGCAACAAACGGCAAAAACATTATGAAGAATATAAATCGCTGAGTCATAAATCCTAGAGCAAATTAATTAGCTTGTGCAGCACTGTAAAAACTGCAACTGTGCAGCTGTGAAGCTTTCCAGAACAACTCTGAATAAATATGTAATTACCAAGAGTTAAATATTTATTATTGAATATTTGCCAAAATAATGGTTCGACTATATTTAAACAAAACACAAGTAGAGGAGCGCTGCTTAGAAGCACTGGTTGAGTCTGAACATAAGAAGTGATTTTTCCACCGTACCAAGGAAACAAAGTACAACAAAGAATATAGATTGCATCATTTTTTTGTGCTC